GCGGCCCTGCCCCTGGGCACAGCCCTTTCCGAGTCTCAGCTGGGGTTCTCCGGCGCGCCTCTCCCTGGGCAGGCCCCAAACCCGGCGTTCTTCTGTCTGGTTCCAGACGTGATTGTGTTTCGTTTCTTGGTGGCTCTTTTCGAAGCTCCTGCCTGTGCTGCTTTGAGGTTGACGAATGTGTTCAAGCAAAGTTGGGAAGTCGTGCCTGAGGCCAGTTCCTGGGGCCACGGCCCTGCGGGCTCAGGCCAGGGTTGGGCCCTGCCGTCCAGGCAGCTGCTGGAGTGGCCACCCCCACAGTGGGCGGCGCCGGGGCCTCACAAGCAGAGTGCGTCAGTCATGCACGGCCCGGCAAGTGTTAAAGTCGCACAGTGGGAAGTTGCCCTCCTGGGCGTCCCCCTTGGGGGCTCCGCAGGGCACCTGTGTCCTGGGCATCCCCCTCGGGCAGGGCGGGTGCATGTGTGGTTTTACACGAAGATGTTTGCCAGGCCCACAGCCCCACTGGGTATTCCTAGTGGCCAGTGTCGCTTGGTCAGGTGGGTGGGGAGCTGCACGCATCTCAAGAACAGCCCTGGACAAGCCTGAGGGACCCACAGAAGAACGAGGAGCCGTAAGGGGTGGCCACACTGGCACGAAGAGCAGGTGCTGGGGTCGCCAGGGGTGGTTGGGAGACCCGTGAGGGGACTGGCGGGGTCCCCCAGGGCCAGACCAGGGAGCAGGAGACACACACAGCGGAACTCACTGGGCTGGGCGAAGGCCAGGGCAGTGGGGTGGGGCCACGCCCGGGGGTGGGGTTCAGGTGCCCTGCGCTGTCTCCGAGGGACAGTTGGCCTCGGTCCCGCTGGGTGCTGTCCAGGGTCTGAGCCGCCCTGCGTCGTCCACAGCAGCTGCGCCTGCGCCTTCCTGAGCTCAGGGACCCCAGGCACCTGCCGTGTCCTGTTCCGCCTCGGCGCCCAGGGCGGCCGGTGTTTGCCCCCAAGTCCTCGAGTTTTGTTCCCACCTCCGTTCTCCTTTCTGCCGGGCGTCCCCTGCCAGACTCTTGTCATTTCCTGCCAAACAGACTGCAGTTCATTGGCTCCAGACACATTTTGTCCCGCGTTTTAGCGCCCATGAAGTGGGAAGAGGGGTGCGCCGTAGGCCGGCGGTGCGACCCTTATACACAAACGGGTGCTTCTGTTCTCTCACCCCGCCGTGACCCCACCTGTCCCTGCTGTGGGGGCCTGCGTGCCCTGCAGGGGCCGCCCCTGCTGTCTTCTCGGACGCAGTTGTGTCAGAGCAGACAAGGTTCTTCATGGGGTGGCCCTTTTGTGAGCTGCTGTGTGGCGGGCGCTGGGCTGTGAGGCCTGAGTGTTCACGACACAGGACATCTCCGTCACCCCCAGGACCCCTCTGTGCTGTCCCATGGTCACCTGTCTGCACCACAGGAAGACACGGGCCTGTTCTCGGTGCTCGTCGTGGGGTCTTCTGGGGAACGCCACCCCAAGGAGTCGCCCCACTTTCAACCACTGGAGGTGGGCTCTTCGAATGTGGCAGAATAAGTCGGAGTTTGTCCAAGTTACATGTCAGTAACGGGCTCCTTCTTATACTGAGCTGGGAGCCTCTCCTCTGGGTGGCCCCGTTTGTCCCCTGCTGCAGGGCACCAGGACTGTTCCCCATTTGAGGTGCATGTGGTCAGAGTGAGGCAGACATTCTCGTACAGGGAACTGTGGGGACAGTTTTCATTTCCCATTTCTCCGGGGTGAATACCTGGGAGTGGAATTGCCTGGCCATGTGCTAAGTGTAGGTGTAACTTCTTAAGAAACCAACCAGCCATTTCCCAGCGTGCCTGCGTGCCTCTGTGTTCACCGGCTGGTCCAGTGGTCCCATTGTTCCATGTCCCTGTCTGCACTTGCTATGCTCCGGTTTCAAGCTTAGCCATCCTTGTAAGTGTGAAGTAGCATCTCTCTGTGGCTTGATTTTGCTTTGTTCTGGCGGCCGACAGGGTGGAGAGCTTCTCCTGTGATCGTTTGCCATCTGGATCTTCTCTGCGAAGCGTCCGTCCAGAGCTTTGGCCCAGTTTTAAAACCAGGTTGCTCATTTCCTTGCCGTTGAGTGTTGAGAGCACTCTGTCTTTTCGATGCAGGTCCTTCACCAGACCCGTGATCAGCACGTCTTTCCTGCAGCCCACAGCCAGCGTGGTTCTGCATCTTCCCCAGACAGGAGGTTTCCATTTGGGGGACGCTCTCAGTTCTGATAAACAATGTACAGTTTATCAATAAATTGTTTTATGGGTGATGCCTTTGGGGTCACATCTAAGCTTTTAGCTGAACCCAAGATCACAAAGATTTTCTTTTCTTGTAGAAGTGTTACAGTTTCGCGTCTTACGTTGGGTCTATGGCCCCTTTCTGTTCATTTTTCAGTCCGCAGGCTGGCGCTCAGCACACTGAGCTGCACCAGCCCAGCGGGCCCTTTCTGTTGGTTTTTGCATGAGGCACGCAGTTCAGGTGGAAGGAGTTTTTGTGTGCGTTCTGCCTGTGCGTGGCTGGCGACCTAGCACCATTTGTCAAACCGGCTGTCACCCCTCCACTGAGTGACATGTGCACCTTTGTCACCAGTCAGTCGAGCGTGTTTGTGTGGGTCTCCCTCTGGGCCACGAATGGTGTCTCCTGTCGCCTGTACTTACGATCAGCCCTCACAGTGTGAGCACCGTTCTTGCCTTCTGGTTTTAAGTTGTACTTCTCTGTATCTTTGGAAACTAGGGGGTCATTTTCTTACCATGCCATTGTAACAGAAGGCACAGACTCTTGTGGGGAGGCCATCACCTTCTCTGCCCCTGCCCGGCCTCCACGCACACTGGCGGGCTCCCAAGAGTAAGGGCTGCCTGTGCCGGCTCAGAGTTGTCTCCCGGGACGTTCCCCAGGTGCACACTGCATATGCATCCAGGGACGGGAGCAGGGTTCCCTGGGGGCCTCTGGCGGACCGTGCCCTGGGGCCGGGGCTGTGACGTGCTGCGGGAGGAGCAGGTCCATGACTTGCTGCATCTGAGTCAGGACCCACGGGAGGCCGAGGAGGCTCAGCGGCTGAGGCCAGCGTGACCCTGCAGACCTGTGTGACCCTGCAGACCTGTGTCACCTGTCGTTCCTTCCACTCGTCCTTAAACACTTTTTCGTTATTATGTTCCCCACCCCGTCTCAGGGCACGGCTCAGTGGCATTAGGACAGCCACGCTGCTGTGCAGCCGCCGCCACCACTGTCCTCTCCCGGACCGTCTGTCTTCCCACACAGACACGTGGTCCCCATGAAACCCCCACTCCCACCCCTCCCCGGCCCCACCGTGGACTCCCTGTCTCTGTGGGTCTGCCTCCTGCAGGAGTGTCCTTCTGTGTCTGGCCCATCCGACAGCTCTGTCCTCAGGCCCTTCTTTGCTGGCTAGGTTCATACAGGGTCACAGGGTCACTGAGGCAGGAGCAGCAGGACCGGAGGCACTTGGGGACCCATTTGGGTTCCCCTCCGGAGCCCCTGGACAGCCCACCCACATGTCCTGTGACCACACTGTGTTTCACTTGGCTGGTGGGACCTGTTTGCTTGCCTGTGACCCCCCTCCCCGCGTGGCCAGCGGTGACTCACCTCCCAGCCCACCAGCAAGTTGCCTCTCGCGTGCTTCTCTCCGTGTTCCCCGGGCCACACGCCTGGAGCCCACAACCGGACACCAGGTTGCTGCTGATTCACGTCCAGGTCCGGGGTCATGAAGGTTGCAGCCCTGCCTCGGCGGCCAGACCCACAGTGACCAGAGGACACTGGGTGGGTCCCTGCAGTCTGGGGGCCTCTGTCCCTTGGCCACAAGGGCACACCAGCAGCCCCGTCACTGTGCCCAGGCACACATGTTCCAGGTCCCCAGAACCGAGTTGTAACTGGGGCCCCTGTCCCGTCCCCAGAAGGAGGAGCCCGGGCAGGCACCAGGGTGCGGAAAAGGAATTCGGGGCACCTTCCCAGATGCGCCCCCTTGGACTCCGGCACGTGCCCAGCAGGAGCAGCGAGCATGTCTCCTGTTCTGGGTCTGACCGTCTCCAGCTCTTGGGGAGCCGGCCGGGAGGTGGGGCGGGGTGTGAGGGGCACAAACAGCTGGTGCTGTTTGCAGCAGGGAGAGTGCTCTGTGAGTGCCGGTGCCAGGCTGCCGCCCACTGCGGGACCAGGGTCGCAGCAGGTGGGGCCAGGCAGGTTTAAAGTGTCATCGAGGTTTTTTTTTCTGGCCCCACCCCAATCCTGATTCCTCCTGGTGATTTGGGGTGCAAAGATTCCCCACTGCTCTCTGCTCACCCCCCTTCCCCACTGTGGCCCCGCAGCATGTCCGGTGGGAAATGCCACCCTGCCAGGGGGGCCCCTTCTGACTCCCAGATCCATGCAGCTCGGGGTCTGCTAACTGGGGAAAACTCCCTCCTCCCCCTGGAACGTGGCGGCAGCTGGCCTGAAGGCACAGTTAGGCGGCCCTCCACCGAAGCAGGCTGGTGGGCACCTCCTTGCAACGGGGCTGAACCAAGGGCACAGGGTGGCCTGGGTGTGGCTGGGCCCACTCCACCAGGGCTGGCTTGCTCAGGGCTCCCTGACTGTGCCCTGCCCGCCCGCCCCCCACAGCGGTTCAGTAGGAGTGTTCACAGATGCGGCAACTGCCCAGCGTGGGGTAGGCAGATGCAGCACTTGGCTGCTGGCAAACAAGCCGCCTCTCAGGCAGGTGCAGAGGGTGTGGCCTCGGGGAAGCAACCACAGGGCGGCCCTGCCCTGAGCCCTCAGTCCCCCCTGACCTGCGGGCCTCTGCTTGGTGGACACCTCCCAGGAGCCCCCAGGGACTCAGTGGGCGTCCCTCACCTGTTCTCCTCCGCTCCCGTGTTTTTGCTGGTCCTCCCTGCAAAGGGCAGGGTGGGCGGGCGAGGAGAGCAGGGCCTCGCGGGCCAGGGCGGGAGCTCCTGTGCCCTGTTCCCGCCCGTGGCTGCTCTCGGGGACCCTGACTGGCCCGTTCTGTGCCCACAGTGCAAGAGAAGCCAGAGCCGGTGCCGCTGGAGAGCCGCTCCTGCGTCCTCATCCGCCGCGACCTCGTGGCCCTGCCAGCCAGCCTCATCAGCCAGATCGGCTACCGCTGCCACCCCAAGCTCTACTCGGAGGGGGACCCCGGCGAGAAGCTGGAGCTGGTGGCAGGTGAGCCGCTCCGCCAGCCTCAGTTATTTTTCTGCGGGTCTGTGAACAATGTACTCATCACCAATCAGTCAAAAAAAAGATAGAACGTCTATTTCCTCTAATTCCCTTTTGGAAGAATGTGTCATTAAGAGGAGTTATTCAATTGAATTCATTTAGCATTCTAATTGAATCCCCTGGGCTGGTCTCGCTCCCGATTGGCAGAGGCAGCCGCCTCCGTTGCACTCTCATTTTAGGTCTCAGATGAAACCAAGCCACACCCAGTTTACTAACCCCCCAGTCCTGACTCCCCGAGTGCCCATGGCCGGGTCTGCAGGGGATGACCAGGGGTTTGGAGCCGCAGCTCGCAGAGACGGGCCCATCTGGAAAAGGCACAACGTGACTGAGTCAGAAGCCCATTAGGGCCAGTGTCTTTGCCAGAATCACTGATCCTGGGAACCGTAAGAACCTGGGAATCAGTGGGAACCGTCATGAGACTGTGAGGCTGTTCCAGGGGGTGGTGGGTGCGGGTGGCGCTGTCACCCTCGCTGGTGGACACGGAGCCCTTCCCAGGGGTCTCACCCCTCCTTCCCAGGGGTCCCAAACACGGGCTGGCTGGGAGCAAGGCATCTCCCTTCACCTCAGGGCACCCCCATTTCCTCTGCCAGCTGCCAGGTCCCTGCTGACTCCTGCCTGTCAGTGGGCGGGGTTGGGAGAGGCAAGGACCCCTCCCTGGCTGGCCCCCAGCTGGTTATCGGGCCCCACTGTGCCCAGCCCCTGAGGAGGTCTCCCCACCACGAGGTGAGCCCAGGGTGACCTGCTCTACTGTTGAGTTTGAGGCTCTGCAGATAGGAGGTGGGTGGACATGAGGCCACCGGGGACACCTGGCATGTTCTGGCTGGGAACTGGCAGAGAGCACTGACCAGGAGCTTGCAGGTGGTCTTCATGCAGCACTGGCCTTGGGCCTCTCTGACCAGCTGCTGCCGGCTCCCCTGGAGACCCAGCTCGTGGGGGAAGCACTGAAGCCAGGGAAGGCCTGCCCGAGCCTGGGCAGAGCAGGGCCTTTGTGTGGTCCTTTTCCCTGTCCACCAGGGGGAGCCCTGCCATGTCCCCTTTCCCGACAGGGAGGCTGTGGCCCTTTGTTCCCAGCCTGACGGGGTGCCCGGGTGTCCCTAGGCTTCTCGGGGTGGACAGCACCACGTGGGCTTGTTGGTCGCACCTCAGCCCAGAGGAGGCGTGTGCTGGGGTGGGGGGAGCCCCAGCACGACCTCTGTGACCTGCCCCCCATTACCGTGTCTGGGCAGGACAAAGTACCCCTAGACCTCGGCCGCGCCAGGGAATTTCCTTGAGGCTGGAAGGGTAGTTTGGGGACAGCCTGTGGGGCGGCTGGGCCCCACCTCACTGGGTGTCTGGTGGCCACAGGCTCCGGCGTCTACATCACGCGTGGCCAGCTGATGAACTGCCACCTGTGCGCGGGGGTGAAGCACAAGGTGCTGCTGCGCAGGCTCCTCGCCACCTTCTTCGACAGGTAGGCCCCTTGGCTGCCCGGGAGCTCCGGGCGTCTGCTCCTTAAGGTCCTCACTCACCTTTCTGCCCTCACGCCCTGAGGCAGGTCTGGGGAGGGCTCTGGGACCCCCCAGCAAGGTGACGAAATACCTTCCACCAGAGGGTGTAGGGCCTGCTCTCCCGCTGCACCCAACCCTGGGAACAAGCCCCCCCACAGGCGTCCAGCCCCTCTGTCCAGCACTCAGGCAGGGGAACCCATTCCCACGGTCACCTGTGGCCGAGTCCTTACCCTGTGTCCCTCCTGCCCCTGCCAGGAACACACTGGCCAACAGCTGCGGCACCGGCATCCGGTCGTCCACCAGCGACCCGAGCCGCAAGCCACTGGATAGCCGAGTCCTCAACGCTGTGAAACGTAAGGGGCCTGGCTATGCCAGGGGGCAGGGGGGCCTCTGGAGGAGAGGTGGCCTGTCCCCAGCGCCAGGCGGGGCCCAGGGTCGGGGAGGAAAAGAGCAGCTCTTGGGAGCCAGGTCTCGAGGTGGGAACATTCTTGGTAGGTTTCCAAGCATGATGAATTCAGCTGCGAAACTATTTTAATACGTGAAATAGATCTAATTTTCCTTTTTGAACAAAACCCTTTATTTACATTTGAAAGTTATTTTGAGCCTTTGCCATCTGCTCGGCGGCTTCGGCCTCCCACTCCTGGGTGCCCGGGGGTGGAGCCCGGCCACTGCGGTGGCAGACGCCACCCCGCCCCACACCCCCGTCTTGGGAGACACGAGCAGTGCCCAGCACGGCCACACTGCCCGAGTGCGTGTCCTCCTACAGCTGTGGGCCCACCAAAGGCTTAAAAACATAACCTCGTTTGAGAGCAAAGAGGGGCTTTGCAATGGGGAAAGTGTGGGGTGCAGGCTGGGCCGCCCGGAAGATAAGGTAGAGGGGAAGGTGAGGCCCAGAGAGACTAAGGGCCCTGCCCACGGCCACGCAGCAGCTAGCCAGTGGTCAGGTGCTGGAGCCTCGGCCTTGCCCTTGGTCTGCTCATGGTCTTTGCTCCCTGAACATTCTGACCAGAGACCATCCCAGAGCGGGGCGTTGCCTACAGGGCCAAGTGGCAAAAGGGCGGCCATGTGGCCCCTGTGCCAGTGGGGAGCAGGACCCGTCTGCTGCCCCCAGCAGCCCCAGAGTGGCCACCCTGACGCCTGTCCAGGGTGTCTCGGCCTCGGGGCCCCTCAGGAGGTGGGGGTTTGGCAGCAGGGAGTCCCGGGGGCGCAGCCACCCTCACGCGCCCCGGCCCCTGTCCCTCCAGTGTACTGCCAGAACTTTGCACCCAGCTTCAAGGAGAGCGAGATGAATGTGATCGCCGCGGACATGTGCACCAACGCCCGCCGCGTCCGGAAGCGCTGGCTGCCCAAGATCAAGTCCATGCTGCCCGAGGGCGTGGAGATGTACCGCACGGTCATGGGCTCCTCGGCCGCCAGCGTGCCCCTCGACCCCGAGTTCCCGCCTGCCACAGCACAGGTGTTCGATCAGCGCCTGTACGCTGAGCGGCGGGCGGACGCGGCTGCCATCGTGGCCCTGAGAACTGACACCGTGAATGTTGACCTGGGCGCCCCCGCCAACCCCGCCTTTGAAGCCGGCGAGGAGGCGGAAGGGGCCGGCTCTGTGATCCAGGAGGTGGTGGCACCCGAGCCGCTGCCCCCCGCCAGCCAGAGCCCCCCGCAGCCCTTCGAGCAGGGGAGCAGCAGCTCGAGCCGGCCCCAGACGCCTGCAGCCCGGAGACCCGAGGGCTCCTACGCGGGGACCTTGTAGAGGGCCGAACGCGCCGGGGACCGGTACTAGCTGCTTGCATGCGTTACTAATACAGACAAATGTGATCAAGCCACTTACCTACTGAACTGCTGTTGCCTGAAAAAAATGTGATTTTTATTCTGCTTGTATTTAAAATTTATGAAGGAAACTTGCATTCGTGACACTGTAAACAATTAGGCCACTGGCTGCCGAGTTGCGAGAAAGGCCCCAGGGCCTCCTTTTCATGCTCGAGGTCAGCCTCCAAGTGTAGCTTCCCCCCTTCTCAAGGAGGGCACAAGAGGCCGCCAGGCCCTGGGGCCCAGCCCTGCCCCAGCTCCACCCCCCCTTCCTGCCCCTCTGCCCGGATGAAGCCAGGGGCCTGTGGCATGGGGACTTGTGTCCTTACCTGTGAGGAACCCGCCCGCCCCTCTGGGGCCATGGCCAGGGCTGGGCCCCCAGAGGCCAAACTCCTTGTTTTTCCTTCTTCCTGAGACCCGGGGTCAGGCCTGCTGGGTCTGAGTGTGAGTGGGGTGTGTGAGTGTGCAAGCGTGTGTGTGTGTGTGTGTGTGTGTGTGTGATTGTGCGTGGGGAGTAGTGTCGCAGACAGTGAGGGGTCTTGCTCTCCCCGTGAGCAGGGAGCAGGGCCCTGCTGTGCCTGTCCCCTGGCCCCAGCCACCCCTCGGTGCACCTGGGTCCCCCAGCTCCCGCCCGCTGCCTGCTGCCCTGTGGGTGGGGCTGCCGCCCGGGTACCCCGCCCTCCACCTTGTCGGGCTTGTGTTTGTTTGTTCATTTGTTTTTGTTGAAACTCAGATCCGTTTCATACATGGTTTGGAAACTTTCAGACCCAAAAGAGCAAAAAACTAGGGAGGACTGGGTGTCCTTTGCCCCCAACCTGTGATGGCTCAGGGCAGGTCATCCGTATACCATGTCTCCCCGCCCTAGGCCAGGTTTTACTCACTTCCTGTTGGGGGCAGGGGGTCCCCAGAAGTGCAGAGGAGGTGGAGGCCACTTCGGGGGCCAGCCTGGTGGCTGGGGTCCTGACTGGTGGGCACAGGGGGCCAGGCTGGGCCGGAGTGGGGCCCCCATCCTGTGCTCTGACTTGTGAGGTGCGCCTCGCTCTGAGGGTGCAGGTGTGAGGACAGTGGGCACAGACCTGCACTGGGGCAGCTGCCGGGGCGCCCAGGGTAGGGGTGCAGAGGAAGGGCCCACAGAAGTTGTTGGTTTGTTTGAGGTTGGAATGTTCCTTTTGAGGTTTAGCTGCTGGTTTTGGGTGCGGGGGACACGGGTGTCCCAAGTGCTCCCGTAGCTACTCGCCCTGGGTGCTGTGTCCTTGTCCAGGGCAGCCTGCCTCCCCAGTTCCAGGCAGCCCCCCGCCATTCCCAGACTAGAATAGGTTGGAATGGCACCAGGCTCTGTTCCTCTGTCTGTGGGTGCACGCAGGGCTGGGCAGGTGAGGCTCGGCCCCACTCAGGACCCACAAAGCTGAGCCTCGCCAGCTGCAGGGCCCCGTGGGGCAACCTGGGGTCTGGGGGCGAGCTCTTTCCCACTCTCTCCTGCTGCCGCTGCCTTTCCGGGGGGTGGGGGAGCAGCTGCATGTAGCCTCCTGGCCCGCTCCGGCCAGGGCAGATGTAGGCCTGACCTCCGGAAAGACCTGACAATTTCTGGAAAGAGGTTGAGGGGCCCTGGGTGGATACTTGGGAGCTGATCCCAGCCCCTCTCCCCCTTGGGCCTGCCCGAGTGCAGAACGGTCCAGAGCCCCTGGCGTGGGCTGGGGCTGCAAACTGGCCTCCGCCTCTTCCTCCCTGTCTGGGGCCCGGCCCAACCGCCTGCTAGGGACCAGAACTGAGTCCTCCTGTAACTGGGAGGAGGCCATACCCCCGGCACCCTCAGGTGGCCTCAGGGCAGGGGAGGTGTTGGTGGGTGAGGTTGACCCCCACCCATCTCCCATCTGGAGTTTCCTTTATCTTCTCTCCCACCCAAATTTGCACTTTAATTTGACCATCCCTGGGGACCCTCGGGAGACAGGCCCACCGTCCTGGCTGTGGACCGAAGGGCTCGCTCTGTCTTCCTCTCTCTCCTCCACTCCATAGAGGGCACGGCCACCCACCCGGGGCCAGGACAGGGAGGGGTGCCGCTGGCCCGGCGGGGGAGGCGGTGGCCGCACAGAGAAGGCCTGACCGTGGCTCAGGCCAGCACAATGTCCCGTGACCTCTGCCCCTTAGTTGTTTATAATCGCCGTCTGTTTTGTTGTTCTGGGTAAGGAAGGCAGAGCTCTAGGGGAAACTTTAATCATTAAATGTGAATGGGTTCTGAGCTCTCCCGGGCCCTGGCGGGCCGGGCCGAGCGTTTTGCACTAAAGTGTCCCGCGGTGGACGTGGGTCCGGAGCGTTTGCGGACGGGCATGGCTGATGATTGTATGTGCCGGGGTGTCCCTCCGAGGCCCTGACGTTCCGCGGGGCGGGCGGCGGCGGCCTGGCTCGGGGGCCTTCCAGAGTGCCTTAGCATCTTTTGATCATTTTTCCCAAGGAAAACCAATTACGAACACCGGACCCTCCCCTCCTGTTTACAAGAAGACTAATCCCTGTCCCGTCAGCGTGATCCTGACCCCCAGACCCTGTAGATGGAGAGACGAACCGCTCAGTATTTATGAGATGTGTGCACCTTTATCCCTGAGCTTGACTATTAGCAATATGCATATACTACATAGTCTCTATAGAGCTAAGTCATAGCAGCGCCTTGTCGAGGAGGAGAGAAGGGGCTGATGGCGTGGAGCCAATGTGGCCCTGGCCTGGGCTCCAGCCGCCGCCCCGCCCTGCTGCGGGAGGCGGCTGGGGTGGAGTGCGAAAGGTCCCGGGGAAGGGACCCTTGAAGCGACAGATACTGTGAGCTCGGGCGGGGCCTGCCCGCCTGGCCGGCGTGCCTGGGTACTTGAATTCTGTCTCATTGTCTGCACTGTGTCTGGCCTCGCCCAGAGTTCTCTGTGGTCACTTACCTTTGCGTTGGATTCCATTGTCTCACTTTGCCCTGACTGGGCGCAGCTGTGGTTGAGAGGCAAGGGGGCGAGGCCGAGGGCGGGAGCCTGCAGCCCCTGCACGGCTTCCTGGTGTAGGTGGGAGCCCCGCCTAGTTCTCCTCGGGGAGGGTCCATTTTGTGTTTGTGTTCAGAGCCAGGAGACGGTGTGGGTGGGGGTGTGCACGGCCCAGGGCACGACCACCCCCAGCTGGTTCCTGCTCAGATCCCCCTCTGGATGGGTTACTTTCGTGGAACCATCCTGCTGCAGTAGAAAAAGGCCAACGAGCCATTAACCAACTGAAAACTCCGAGAAAAAGCCTGTTTGCCTCTGCCGGCAGTAACCCACCCACGGGACCGCAGGCTCTCGCTGCCTTGGGCTTTATGACTGCTGTTTCAGAACATTGCTGCCGCCGAAAACCGTCATCGTGCCGGCCGGTCGGCTCCGCGTCCCCACCAGAGACCTGGGACTGGCAGGGTTTGGTGCAAGATGTTTCTGACATGGCAGCAACATGTTGGTTGTTTTGTTTGTTTGTTGTGTTTCTTTGGAAAAAAAAAGAAAACGAGAAGGAAAATTATGCAGAAATCTAACGCTTTCAGATTGGACAACCTGCTTGAATTCTGATCAATCGCTTCGTTGTTAGCGTTTTGCACATGACTGTAATTTTTATGTCAACAGAAGCCAAAACTTGCAATACTATTTTTAGCAGACACACAAAAAAAACTAAATATAAAAATGTATAAATATTTTTGACTTGAACATTTGGTCGACACTGGGTGCAAACAGACCATCCATCCCCTGGACGGGTGTTTGGGGAAAGGACTTCTCCCAGGAGACGGTGGTTGCGAAGTTGGGTGAAGGGGTAGGTAGTACTGTAACTCATGACTGTTAAAAACAAATAAACGAAGTGCGTAAACCGCTCCTGTGCTGTATAAAGGTTGGTTTCCCGTGCCACTGCGTTTGATTTCAGCCACAGAAGATGCTAGCTTTTTTCTTTTTTCTTTCTTTCTTTTTTTTTTTTTTTTAAGGAGGAGGAAACCTTTGTTCTCGCTGCGCCTCAGTCTCTGGGCTGCTCCGCAGTGTAGCCAAGACTGTTGCTGTTTGGCCGCGGCCGACGCTGCGCTGGTCATCAGCCTACAGAATCGTCTGCCTGCGACCGCAGACTAGGGCTCCTGGCGTGCGCCGAGCCACCCCGTGAGGTGGGAATCCGTTACAGGCAGACAGAAAGACACCACTGTTCATTGTAAAGCGCTTTGTAAAGTTCACATTTACAGAATAATAAAGTCAGTTCAAACCCAAGCCGCCTGCACTTTGCTTGGACCATAGGTGGCGGGAGAGACACAGAGGGGCTGGGCAGGGGCAGGTTGGGCTGCTGGGGGCAGGGCAACCAGTTCTGGGACACCCTCAGGACCACCTGCAAGCCCATGGTCCACACCTGGTCCATTTACCCTCCCACACTGACTTACAAGAGAAGGGGGGTGCTGGGTAGGATGTCCTGGGGGGCCTGGGCGAGACCCTCCCCTCTTTTTATTACGGTCTGCAAACTGGGAAAGCCCCCTCATCTGACTCACCTGCCTGCCACCTGCCGGGTGTGCAGAAGCCTTCCTCCCCTGTCCCAACCTCCTGCTGTACGAGGCCTGCCCCCTCCCCCCGTGGATGGAGGGGGAATTGCAAGAGGGAGGAGCAGGTTGCCTGGCCCTCTGGGACCTCCTTGCCAGGCTGTGGTCCCATATCCCAACTGCCCCTGGAGGTGTCCCTCCCAGGCCAGCAGAGCCTGGGGTTCTCGGGTTCCAGCCTGGCAGCCGTGCCCGCCTCTCCTCACCTTCTGGAGCCCCAAGGACCATTATCCGAGTCTTCCCCGGGCCCCAGGCAGGTGAGGCTTTGCATCAGTTTGTGTGTGTGTGGGGGGGGGGAATGTGGTCGCTGGCCTCCACATTTGCTTCCCGTGTGTGGACACCGACAGGCAGGGTCCTCACATCCTTTTGTCCTGCGAGGGTCTCATCCACGGTGGCCACCTCTGACCTCACAAAAGCGCCCTGGTCTCCCCGCTTCCTCGGGCTTCATTCACAGGGCCAGCTCTGCTTGAGCCAGGACTTGCTTGCTCGCTTGTTAATTGGGCAGGGGTCCCCAGGAGCGGGTGACCTGGGAGCCATGGTCAGCACGCAGCAGGCGCAAAGTCTGAAATGGACAGATGTTGTTTCCAAAGGGCCCTTGGCACTGGGGACCCCTACGGCAGGGGGCATGCTGGTCTGGGGCCACCCCAGCCCTCCCCTCCTGCAGGGGCCAAGTGACACTGTCCCCTGGGAATGCCGAGAAGCCTGTCCCCACCCCCTGCCCTGCCCTGCCCTGCCCAGCTGCAGGCAGCGGACACTTGCCTGGTCTCAGCTCCCTTCTCTGGGTCTTGCTCCTGCCACCCTCGCCCAGCTCCTCGAAAGTCCACTGCCACCTGAAGAAGGCTCTTCCCCTCAGGCCTCGAAGCTGCTGGGCAGGGTGGGTTCCCATGTCACCCACCTGGGCCCTCCCCTCCATCCGGAAGGCCCCAAAGCCCGTCTCCGCGGGCCCCCAGCAGGCAGGGGAGCCCACTGCACTGAGGACCCAGAGGCCCATGATGTGGGGGGCGGGGGGAGGACGGTCTTGGCTAGCACCCAGGCGTCCTGCAGAGTTCCTCTGGGTGACTGCCCAGCCCCCTCTCCTGGTGGGGGTCCAGAGGGGGAGCGGGCACCTGCCCGCCTGTGTTCTGCACCCTCCCAAGGCTGCCCACCCTCACAGCCTCCCTAGAAACTGGCCCTCCGGCCCTGGCCGCCCCACCCCACCCCTTTTCCTGGGAGGAGGAGGCCCAGTCAGCAGGGCCCAGAGGCTCTGCCCAGAGCCCTCTGTCCTTCCACAAAAAGGTGGGAGCTCCTGGAGGTGGGGGTGGGTCCTTAGCTGCTGCCCCAGAGGGGAGAGAACGCTGGCTGGGCTTAGGGCCTGGGGGAGCAGGGGCCGGGGGGTGGGGCTCCAGCCGGTCGGTCCCAGGTCTGTGTCATTCCAGTCCGTACGAGCCCACTCCCACTGATCGGGTGTTTTTCCCTCCAGAGTCCGTGGGGAGAAGGCAGGTGTTCACGCCCCAGTGCCCACGGCAGTGCCAGATAAGCCTGTGTGGATACCGGTGTGCTCACAGGGTCTGCGTGGAGGGGTCTCGGCAGGCTGGCTGCACAAACAGACTCAGCCCTCGCAGGGTGGGGCGGGGGCGGGGAAAACCAGCCAAGTCAGTGGGCCTTGCAGGAGGCTGTGGAAGCCAGACCGAGGTTTATGGGGAGCAGGCCTGGTCCACCCAGGGCTGGCGGGCAGGTGCCCGAGGGGGCAGGAGCCTCCCTGCTACTGTAGCCGAGGGGACCCCAAGCTTCTCCCTCGCTGTCAGCCTCTGTGCCTTGCTCCCGAGTAGGCAGCCCGGGGCGGGTGGGTTCGGAGAGAGGGTGGATCCCTGCGCCCCACCCAGAGCAACTTCCTGACACCCTGGAGGCCCTGGCATTTTCCCAGGGAGGCCCACAGGCCAGCCTGCCTGGTCAGCTCTCTGGAGTCCTGCCCTTCCACTGCCTGGGCCCCCCTGGTGACCCCTCCCCTAACACCCCCCACACCACAGCTCTGCTCCCCCAGAAGCCCCCCTTCCTGTGTGAGAGACAGCCCGGCCCAGGGGGAGGCAACCCAAGCCAAACTGGAACACCCGTCTGATGCTACCTTTTCATGCCTCGGTTTCCCCACACGTGCAGCACGGGGGTGGACCGTTACAGTTCCCACTGGGCCGTGCCTGCCCCGGGCATCTCTGTAAACAAAGTACAGGTCCGGCTCTGCAGGTCCGAGTGGGCCTGGCGCCTGCCTGCTGACGACCCGAGGCCTCGACCACATCTCAGGACCCCACAGGACTCGGATTCTCGACACCTGGTGCAGACCTGTGTGCAGAGGGCGAGCAGGTGGCGACACTCGGACGCCACTCGCCACTCCCACCTGGGGTGGACGGCTCTGTGCCAGTTCACAGGCCCACACACCTTGGGGGCCAGTCCCCTCGGGGCACCTGCACTTCAGTGCCCTGGTAACAAGTCCCTGCGGTGGAGGGGGCTTGCTCAGACTAGCTGTGGCCACACCGCCTTGCCGGCCTTGACAGGCTCCTGCTGGCTGGGCTCCTGGGAGCACAGAGCGGGGGACCCCACCCAGGTGTCTGCTCCTCTTCCCTACCCTGGGGCACAGGATGGTACCAGCTATGGCTAAACTGGTGGCCCCAAACCACTCTCCAATCCACTTTATAAATACAATCTCCAGCTGTTGACTCTCCTGCTCAGTGAGTGAAGCATCTGGCACATCCTTGCCGCTCTCACCTCTGACCTCTGATGGCGGGGACCCCCTGCTGGTGGCCCAGTGTGTGCATCTCCCACACAATTTGAGTTTTCCCATCTGCTCCCTGGTGGTCCTCCCGCCCAAGAGGATGGACCCGAGCCTGTGCAGTGTCCTCCTGGACTTGGCCCCAATCTCCCCAGTCTGCTGAGCTGGGGGACCCTTTGGGGGGAGGAGGGCCAGGCACCAGGGCCCCTCCTTGGGAGGTGTTCCCACAGGGTGCGGAGTGTGGACAGCGGCGTGATTGTGGGCTGGAGCGGGCAGGACAGCTGCTCCAGGCACCCACGTCAGTGTCACCACGGGCTGAGTCACCAAGGGGGGCATGAGCGATCTGCACACCCCAGGATGGGCGAGCGAGACCAGCAGCGCGGGGCTGAGGGCCCCGAGTCAGAGGTACCCCCACCTCCCATGTCCTGCGGCACCAGGCCTGCCCGTATCTCTGGGACCAAAGTCTGGAGCTGTGAGCGTGGAACCCAGAACTCGAGAGGGGCCAGGGGCCTCAGCTGAGGGTCAGCGGCGAGGACAGGTGAGCTGTGAGGGGCACACTGCATCCGGTACAAAACTACGGGGACCCTGGGGGCTTTCTCTGGAGCGTCCTCAGCAGGAGCGGCCAGACACCCCGGCCTCTCAGCCCCTCAGGGCCCCCATCAGCTCCAGGAGGTGGATCCTTGACCCCTGTCCTGCAGAAGCACCGAGGGCGCCCTCCCCACCAGGCCAGGGCAGGGGGTGGGCCGCTGGGCGGGAGGATGGCCTCTGGGCTGGCGGGCTCCAGTGCAGACTTGGAGCCGCCCCCCCTTGCCCACCCAGCAGGAAATGACCTGGCTCCCCACCCTGAGGGCCATGGGGCCTGGGCAGGATGGGGGGGTAGAGGTGGAGGGCAGAGCAGGCACATGAAGTGGGACCCCTGACAGGAGGTACTGTGGGGGGGCACTGACAAGGGTCCCTCTGGGCTCGGGGCTGGGCTGCAGGGTTCTGGGGGCTGCACAGGAGGGGAGCCAGGGTCCCGGGCCTCTGTCTCCCTGCACAGGCCCAGGGCGCTCAGACGGCTGCAGACCCAGAAGCTGACTCCAGCCCTGGCTTCAGCCCCCACCGCAGGGAAGTGGACCGCCCTGTGCTGGGCCCACAGTGGCGCCTCCAAGCCAGAACAGAGCAGATGGGCAGCCAGGCCACCCTGCAGGGGTGGGGGTGGGGGGGCAGGTGACATCACTGGGGCCAGGGCCCAAAAGCACCGGCAGGCCTGCTGGAGGCCCGCCCCACGGGACAGAGAAGTGGCAGACCAGAGTGGCAGACCAGCGCTCGGGCGCCCAGCGGTATGCGATTGGCAGAGAGGCCGGCAGTGCCCTCTGCTCCTGGCCCTGGGATTATACAACGGAGCTCAGAATACGTTCCTGGAACTGAGGCGGCCGCAGGACTCTCTGGAATGGAAATCAATTTGATTAGAGAGCAGTCAGTTACCGCCAGGACCGGGTGGAGGGCGCAGAAGCCAGCTCCACAAAACACCGGGAAACTCTGAGGAAATGCCTGCTGGGAAGGGGCCCTAGGTGGGTGGGGGGCTCAAGGAGGGAGGGGGCCAGGGTGGGGGGTGTGGAGGGGACCCTGCGTAGCCCTGACTGGTGCTCTGCGCCTCTTGGCCCCCGTTTTCTCCTTCACAGAATGGGGTGGTGCTGATGCCGCCTCTTGGGGTTTGGGGGCCTGGAAGGGGCTGTGCTCACAAAGCCACGCTGGTGCCTGGCCCACACAGTCAGTGAGGGGCCTAGGGCTGGGGGGCCGCAGGGATGGGCTCTGCTCGGTTGAAACTCCGCAGGTGACGGTCCTGCAGCCGCACTCGATGACCAGAAGGCCAACGAGGTGGGGTGGGGACAAGCTCCGTGGAGGCAGAGACCCTGGACTGCCAACTAGCCTGTGCTCCTTGGCCCGGCCGCTTGGAACCT